CCCCAAAACCCCAAAACCCCAAAACCCCTAATGCTGAATTTTTCATTTCAGGTAATTATTTGATTTTAGTAAATAAAAAATGGCCCAAATAAAATCGAAATAGATAATATATTAGAAGAACAGTGATCTTGAGGAATATGGATTCAAACATTAAAGAGCAGGAAGTATCAATCATGAAAGGATCAAAGATATAGATTCCCCTTTGAATTTTTAGGAACTATAACCAATTAACTTTAATAATGCTGCAAATCATATTTAGAGGCAAAATGACCCAAATAAAGATTACAGCTAGCCATAGACATCTCAGCAAAGGTAATGGACAAAATTACCTGTTAAAAAATAATCAGCATCTAGTAATCAAAAATCACTTCCAGCTCTCTCTTCTTCAAAATCTGCCTCTGATATGAATTTCGGCCGAATCTAGAATATTGGGCTCGTTAATTAGAATGTAGCATCCATCCTTAAAACGAATAATAGCAATAATTCATCTTAATCTTTTAGGATGTAACTTAGAAAAAAATTTGAAGAGGAAAAGGTGAAAAAAAATAGTCAATAAATGGCTACTTTATCTAATGAACTTTTGAAATAATACTTTGACACTACAAACTCTCATATTACTAGAATACCTGAATTTCCATCCAGATTTACAGCTGCTCCATTTATTAGATATGGACCTTAATAGATTTAAGCCTAGGCAAAAAAATAGATTCTAACCTAGAGAATATAAAACTCTAGTGAAATTAGTTAGCTTAACCAAGCACACTCAAAGAGTTTATTAGAGCAGTAATCTCATTCTAAATTCCTTAACACGACTAAAAGTTTGGCATAGCTCAGTAAAGCACCTCCTGATTTTAGAGATCATAAAGCTAAATCTTCAACTGAGTATTTTCTTCCCAAAATAAAGGATGGACTTCCAACCACTGTAAAAAATCTAACTTTTTTGAGAAACTAACATTCACCAAAGAAGATAAAAGAAGACGGGGAGTAAAAGGATTTTAAGCATAAATTGAATTAAATGTCTATGATTAAAAGTATGAATTCGAGCAACTTAAATGATTCTCAAATTCAAACTCTCTAAATTGTAAGTGAATCGCCCTTTAGAAAAAGGAAAGCAAATTTATAAAATTTCACAAACAAGGATTTAGGGTTAACATTCTTTTAAACAGAGCTTCTTGTTGCAGAGGCTTCAACTCCTAGATAAAATTTACCTTAACAATAAGAATCTAGAAGTATAATGATGATGAATGTAGTGAATTAATCCAAATCTTCCTTATTAGAGGAAGAAGACAAGCCTTTTCTCACAATGAACAGACTAAACAGCATTGGACATAAATTTCCAGTAGAAGTTAAGGATATGAAAGGCTATGAAAGTGCAAGAAAACATGAAAAGAAAATGAGTATGTCTCACTATAGATAGGAACTCTTAAGGCAAAGCTTGAATAAATCTTAAAGTGCAAGCAATATAACAAAATAAGAAGATAATTCTAAAGAAGCTATTTAAGAAAACCAAATTATGCTAATTAATGATGGTATCATAAATGAAAATTTGCAGATGACCCTATTTAGAGATTCTTTATATTAAACATAGAATGTATTTAAGAATAGCTAAATTCTAGATAAAAACAATAAGAAAACTAAGAATGATCTTATTAATTCCATTAGAAGATTTGATGATAGGACAATAAGCTATGATAAGGCAAAGAGTAAACTTTGGGACTTGACAAAAAACTATCTTTATCAGCATTTCTAGAAAAATGGGAACTCAAGAGAAACTATATTTCCTCAATATAATAAAAGAGGAGATTTAGTTAATAGAGATTCATTAATTGACATCTCTTTCAGATCTGTATTTTCAAAGCAGTTTCAATATTGAAATTATTAAAGAGTTCTTTAATAAGAAACTTAATTAATTAAGAAAATAATATTATATCTTTATTTGACCAGAATGTGATCATAAGCAAATAAAATCAAAATATTCCACAATTTTCATCTTTTTCTTGCTTTTTCTTCTTTTTATTTTTTCCTAATTTCTTATGTCTATCTTTTTCCTTATCATCTATTGGCTTATTTTCTTTTGGAGCTTGATTAACTAATAAGAACTTCTTTTGAGGCTTATTAGTCTCAAGAATTCCTAGTCTATTTATTAAGGCTTAGCCGTTTTTATCTTTTTCATCCTTGATTGGTCGAACAAGGCCTACTTCTTCATGAAGCGCATTGTTAGTAATTAGACTAGTATCATGCTCTTTATTATCAGCTAAATCATGTAAATGGCTTTGAGGATTCATAGTTTCATCAAGTTTATTAGGTGAGTCTATACTATTCATTTATTCATTCTAACTTCTTCCAGGAGAATTCATATCTCCATCTTATTTATCCTCATCTAATTAATTTTCCTCTCCATCTTCTTTGTCTTCTTAATCTTTATTACCTTCTAGACTTTCTGTTCTCAAGGCTTTTCCTTTATCCATTCTAGCTCTAATGTCTTCAAAACTTTCGACCGAAAAAATATTCTCAGTAAGATGTGCATTGTTAATAATTACCCAGTCAAAGAGGTGGTCATAATCATAACCTTCTTTTTAAAGGAGTTTCTTAAAAATATATCTTATCCCCTAATAATCTGGTCTATCTTCAAATCTTAGAGCTCTTACATAATGCATATAGTTAGAAAATTCTAAGGGTACATCTGAACAAATATGCTCTACAGGAGATCTTAATTTTATTTCAGCTATTTTGGCATACCTTTCAGCTCTATTATTAGCCTATAAATTTTACCAGGGTAACTTTCCTTAGATGAAATAAATCAGACAAAAGCCAATAGCTTCAAGATCATCTCTTCTACTTTATTCTATACCAAGATGTGCATTTAGAGATGCATATCTAGCCGTGCCAGTAAGATTTCTATTTTCTCTGTAAGGAATGTGTTATTAAGATTTAGCATCTCTAAATTTCTTTGATAAACCAAAATCAATGACATTTACTATGTATGAGTCTGTTCCTAATCCCATTAAAAAATTATCAGGCTTTATATCTCTATGAATATAGTTTTTTTTATGGATTTATTCGATTCTTTATAGCTAGAAAAAATTAGTCTATACAAAATGTATTTACCATTTAATCAGCTAGCATTAAAGTTGTTTTAAGTGAGAACTTTTTACTGCAATAATTAAATAAATCTGCCAAGCTCGGACCTAGCAAGTCCATAACCATAATATTGAATTCAGATTCCATAGCCAACCAATGAATTTTAGGCACTCCAAAAACTGGATTACTACTTGAAGACAAATTTCTCATCACTTTAGCCTCATAAGGTAATTATGGCTGCTTGTTTAGAGATGATTTTTCCTATTAATTATTATAATTGAGATTCGAATAAACTTAGATAGAATTACATACAAACTTGATGGCAACATATTTACCGGAGTCAATATCAGTTCCTAATAATATTGATCCAAATGAACCGGCTCCTAGCTTTCTACCTACTAAGTATTTATCTTGAAATATAATGTCCTCTTCAACCATTAAATTCAAAGTTAAGATTATAACTAAAATAATTGAGTTTTATTTCAGAATAATAGTACTCTTAAATCTAAAATATTAAATGGTTTTTACTCAACTATCATTAAAAATTTACCTTACGGGGTTTTGGGGTTTTGGGGTTTTGGGG